ATAAACAAAGGAAAGAAACAGCCATCGACTTCATTCTGCTGTCAGAAAGTTAACTACATTTCTATACAATCAGCTGATAATATTCGAATGAAAATGCACGAACAATGCCAATATACAAACTGAACTGTTTGACCTAGATTGCTACGAAAGGTTTTATGTAATACGATGTTAAGCTTCAACGAAAACATGAGTCTGCATTCTAGAGTATATTAATGTGGGGGGGGCGGCAGAGTGGTCACTCTTTATGAGGCCAATTTAACATCGTTTTGCGCGACGTACTACGTAGGAAGCCATCTAGGAAACAAAAGTTGGAATGCCGGTTTTATGAGGCTGATTTTAGTACCATTGTTTTCAATATATTAAGCATAGCGCATAATTTCTCAAGGTAAAATGGACAGCCGCTATTTGAGAACTATAGCCTCTATTCTCCCGTTTCCTTGTACTCATTTATGGGAGTGGTGATCATTTATAATCCTCAGAAGGATGAAGGGCGAGTTACCCCAACCGAGGCTTGAACTCGGAAACCATCGGTTCTGAGTCCAATGCTCTGCTGAACGAGTCCCGGTCTGAAGCAATGAGTGGTATTCCTTGATCACGATTTCACACCGTGTCACCATCCCACAACATAAGAAGCCACTTAGGTAACTGCTGTATGGAGCTTGAATATGAGCGCTGCTAGTTGCATTTAGATTTCCATGAATCGTCAGAGGCGCCTGTTATTCATGAAGAATTGCATTTCAAGAAATACCTATCATCATATGCTATCGCATATGCATCAATATGATATCTTATGGGTTCATATACTTAAGTATGTTAATCTGCCCATTACTTCCCCAAGGTCAGGTGCTGCAGGCCTTGCTTGAAATGTAGCAAGTTCTGCCAATGCTCAAACATCATAGAATGACGATCGGGTCAAATGGCAACTAAGGGAATAATGAGTAAAGGGGTGGTACATTGCGTCACAAAACTAATCTTAGAGAAGTTGAGTCTGTTAATATAACATTTAATACAGCCTAAATGAGGAAAAATTGTTGACATACTTCAATCAACGTAGACAAGTTTGGACCTTTTACGTCGTTCATCTTTGCGGCTAACAACATGCAGACACCCGCGATACACTTTCGGTTCAATTTGTCGATAAAAGCCTGAAGCAAATGCCCGTAAAAAAGACGCAAAACCAAACAAAACAATAGACAACACATTAAGATAAAAACAGCATGCTGTTTAGAACTCCACTGGTTGGCTACTCAAAGTTCGCAATAAACAAAGAATACACATAAAATATTCCAGTACGGTACAAAGTACTCTTATAGCGTTTGAAAAGCAATTTCCAGCCAATTCCTACGGTAAGAATGCGACTATTGATTACCAAATGAAAGTCGCACCCAATTTTTGCAGTTTTTTAGGGATTTTGAACATAATGCGAAAGGTGTACGACTTTTATGAAACTAATTTCAGAGGACCTTCAGTATAACAATTCTCATTTTCAAGGGAAGACTCCATATTGCTTTATTTAGTCCATGGAAATTCTCAATAGGGCCTAATTAATTTCTGGAAAGGACAGCGACTGCTACCGGACGATCAGCTTCATTATGATTACATGGAAAAATCTCAGGCAACCGATAAGCTACGACAACGGCACGCTTCTTACGAGGTCGCCTCGCCATAAGTATCAGTAAACGGCCACTGGATTTAATGCTGCGAAATGGCAACATACGACATTTAACTTTATTGTTGAACATTTCTTAGCACATAACTCACTGCCAATGTAGGAAAATACGTATCTTACATTATAATACTTAAATCTGTTGAGATGCTCATAAATCTGCAAAAGAACGAGGAAACAGAAACGGCAAATACATCAAAAAAAACAAGGAACGAAACCAGGGTTACACATCGTGTTAATCATTACACAGTGTTAATCATTAGTCAGCTATCAGGCGAGTTAAGACGAAGTGCACAAGGGGCACTGGCATCAAACAGCATGACCGTATATCTCATCCATTCTGGTATAAATAGATCGGAATATCATGATGTCCCTAGTATTTGCAAGTCAGCGACTTACTAACCGTTTCCCAGCTTGTTGCACAAAAGCAGCGTCGGGTAAACTCCTTATTCAAGAGAATTCACGGCTAAAACAAAGAATATCAACTCACTAGAATCGAGACCGGCACCCCAGAGATTGAAGCCAACCTCCTAAACAGTATTCCATCAAGCCCCAGGAAGAGGGTAACGTATAGGAAGAGAGGACGAAACCGAAATTTACTCAATCACTATCAGTGATATTATCACCATGCCAAACAATGCGAGAACCAACAACAAAAATCGAGGAACAACAGTGGTCCATGTTACTCTAAAAGTCAGTAACTGAGGATATGCACAACAGATCACTTATTCGCGTCCGGCATTATGAAAGTTCTAGAGAGGAAAGGCAAAACAATGCAATTTAGTGCGGCTTTCGAAGGGGTCGATCCTGAGTCTAATTTCCGGATGCAATAAAAAGACTTAGTAAACTTGAAAATTTTATAGTTAGTTGTAACGTGTAACTGCTCCAAGACCAGGTTTCAGGGCGTATTGTATCGCTCTCTTGCTCCTAGTTGCCTACGGAGGTCATTTAAGCTAACAAGATTTCAATGGATTTTGAGCGTCTGCAATATTAAAGCATCTCGCATCATTTAAGTCGCTAGTTTTCTCATATCATCCTCAAGCATAGGAGATTTCATTGGTCGTTGACTGTAGACATCCTCTGCTCGTGGGATATAAAATCAAATATTAATGCTTTCTTTGGTACAGGCCATGACCGCTAATCCTTCCGCTCAAGTTTGCGTTTAGTGCTAAGGTTTGCAGTGATTTTACACGAAACCATTTACTATAGCATGTATGCATTGAGTATAAAAAAATTATTCAATTCAAAGGAAAGCAGTGGCCTTGTTCCTTACCGTCATACATCAACACGTACGTTTTATTTAACCTGTGGGCTTTCAGCATACTTTTTCTACCATGGAAAGACTGCAACATTTACATTTTTCTGATTAAAACGTTATTGAAATTTATCTTATTTTAGTTACTTAAAAAAATTCAATGAAACTACTATATGAATACTAAATATGGATCAAAATAATAAGCAATAAGTGGCGTTATATGTGGCGACCCATTGGATCACCAGGCCGGGAATGTATTTTATTTATGGTGGTTATAAAAAATGTTTAGGAAACACTTTTCTAGAGGAACGTAGGTATACTGCTGATATCATCATCATTATCTTTCATGATGACCGCTTCTCCTTTCGGGTCGCGGAGTCAGATGCGTCAAAGAGCGCCTCCAACTTTCTTGATTCTGA